AATAATTTTATTTACCGAAATTAGTTTTAAATCTGCACACACACAAATTATATTGCTAATATATAATAAGAAATTTATTTTTATCTTATTATCAAAGTTTGTATTAATGGCGACAATTCATTGCAATAGTAAAATAAATTTATTAAAAATTAATTATTTTGTTGTAACAGCGAATTTTAACTTGTTTTCTCATCTCAAAATTTGTCGATTTTTTGAACAAACCAGATTTGTTGCATATTGAATAATCTGTAAAAATAGTTACAATAGCGAAATTTTATCGCTAACATATTTAACATGCAATAGCAACGATTATTTTATTGCGATAGCAAAATTCTTTTTCTGTGTGTAAATGTGTACTTTTATTTCTTCCTTCCCTACGGTAAGTGGTTTATTTTTTTATATCTTTCCAGGATTAAATATTATAAATTGGCGTTGAAAAGCAAAAGTAAGAAAATTTTTAAATACATATGTACCACAAATGTATCACAAATTTAAATTAAAAATAAAAAGAAAATTCTTTTACACAAACGTAAATATATTAATGAATTATGGTATATTTGAAATAATTGATCTAATAAAGAAAGAGTGCATTTTTTATTAACAATTTATTTACAATTTTAAAATATATATTTATTCTTGCTATACGTCAATTTCTTCGCAATCTTTCCTAGCTTACCCATGCATCCGTGGTCCTATGGCTTAACATTAGAACACTAGAACTATCAAAGCGGTCAAAATGACCGGTTTATTCATTTTAGAATAATTATTTAAATTTATAATGTATTTTTTGTAAGATTTTTTTCTGTGACTTGTGTTGCATTGTGTTAAATAATTAAATTGATTAATGTACTTTTTCTCTTTATCACCTTTTAAAAAGAAAGAAAAAAGAAATAAAAATTGGTATATGTTAATCGTCGGTAGTTCTAGTGTTGATCCCATGGTTGAGCGCGGAAATTCGAAATTTGTGGTCCTGTCGATGATGGTCGAGCACAGATCTCGAAACAACGTTGATACGATCGATCATTGAATAATGATCGACTATCAACAAAAATTTCGGACGCAACTAGCGGAAACTGAGCTGAGCTCTGCGCTAGCGTCTTTTGAGAAACACCAAGGTAGTAGCTCTCAGATTTTGGATGCAAATAGCGGTAACTGAGCCAAGCTCTGCGCTAAAGCATCCTGCGGAAAACTCCCTCCCAAAATTCAGATGCAAATGGAGGTAACTGAGCCGAGCTCTGCGCTAAAGCATCCTGCGGAAAATTTCCTTCCGAAATTCAGATGCAAATGGCGGTAACTAAGCCAAGCTCTGCGCTAAAGCATCCTGCGAAAAACTCCCTCCCGAATTTCAGATGCAAATGGCGGTAACTGAGCCGAGCTCTGCGCTAAAGCATCCTGCGAAAAACTCCTTCCCGAAATTCAGATACAAATGGCGGTAACTGAGTCGAGCTTTGCGCTAAAGCATCCTGCGGAAAATTTTTTGTACGAACTCTTAGGTATAGAATTTCTAATTAGGTAGGATTTTCTACTAGATAAAGTTTGTGGGTAGGTAGGTAAGATTTTAAAACTTCTTATCACTTCTATATTGTATTTTTTTTTTAATTCTTTGCTGTCGATAAACTTTGGAACTTCTGCTTTGGCAGTTAGTTTGTAGTTTATTGATGACAAAAATAATGATAAAACTTCGGGTGGGCAAACAGCAAGATTCTCTTTCGAAAAACGAAAGATGTTTCTTGCGTAAATTATGAAAAAGTTTGAACGTTTAGACGTTTAAATGTTTAGATTAATAAATTTCACTAATAAAATATTACTACTTTTTGAATTATAAGAGATACTTTTGATTATAAATAAAAATCGTATTGTTCAGCTCTTTTTAACTAAAGTATTTTGCATTATACATAAAACTTTTGAACGTTTAAATGATTTTATTGACATATTATTGACATATTGGCATATTATTTTCATTTTGTATTATCTTGTATATTATTTCGATGGAATACAGGATAATATATTAAGAAAAATTGTAATAAGCTAAATGTCCCAATGGCTGTGGATATGTCTCAATCTCCGAAAATATATGAACAAAATAATTTTTTAATATTCATAAATATAATGTCCGGAAACTGTGGTAAATTTACGTATCCAATTATTTTTGCAAATATTTAATATCGTCGTTTAATAAATGCAAATTTTGGTTTTAAATTTCCGCGAAGTAAATTTTAATTTTTATTATATAATATTAAAAATATTATTTTCATAGAAAACATCACATTTTTAATAATAATTAATTCTTAAATATATTGCCACTGGAACATTTCTCTTAAATATTGTAAACTTGTAAAAATCTGTTTCTCATTTGTACAAAATATTGTATTAATATATTGTATATTATATTGTATATTATATTATTATATAATTGTATATTGTATTACATATATATATGTATATCACATTATTGCATCTGTATGCAGCATTGTTGTATATATTTCTTTTTCATTGTATATGTTTTCTGAATTTAATATTACTTATTGTATACTATTATTATATTGTATTTGGTTTTATTAAAATCTTTTCTCGACAAACAATGTATTTTATTTCGACAACATTCTTTAAATTTTCTTTCCATTGAAAGAAAGAAAATGATCGTACCAGCAGAGAGAAGCCTGAGAGCGATCATCCCCCCGATTTAGCTGCAACCACAATTCAAGACGCCTCTATGTGCACAAAACGTGCTATGTATCTAAAAGTTATAATCTTGTTACGTAAAAATTGTAAAGTAAGGGCAAAATATAAAAATAGAATTTACAAAAATTAAAAAAACTTATATGTCGCGATTCTTGGATGCAATTTTTACTAACAAAATTGTCACGTATATTTATGTTAAAAAGAACTTATTGTAAATTAAGCTTTAACATAAAAATAAATAATGACATGTGCATGTTTTTTTATTGAAAATTTATTTTATATACATCAATGTTACCCTACTAGCTCTGTGTTACCGACACTTTGTGCACATAGAATGGAACAGAACCAAACATTGTGCACATAGCATGTTACCCACTGGAAAGTATCGTGTACATGGCTCAGTAGTTCAATGTGCACGTTTTGTGCACATAGAGGCGTCTTGAATTGTGGTTGCAGCTAAATCGGGGTGATGACCGCTCTCAGGCTTCTCTCTGGTTATATATTCAACAACGTAGAGCTCAGATATTAGTTCAGTAGTTTACATTAATTTTATCGCCATTTTTTGTGCTAGAAACACACCCTTACATTATTTCAAAGAGATAACGTTAGATGTCATGAATGCCGTAATAATATTCCAGACGTCAACCGCAAAGTGACAGTTCGTGGCATTGTTGGTCTGTTGAGAGAAAAAAAAAATGGAAATAATCTCGCATATTACTTTTGATATCTGATAAGCGTTGACACACGCTTAGAATAATTAGAGCAATTGCTTTAATTTGCTGTCATTATGAAACTTGGATAATACACGCACACGTGTGTCAATCGTCATAATCGCCTAAATATATAAGATAGAACTATTTCATATTGTACATATAATTTTTCCAAAGGCTACAAAAATGGAGCAGATAAGAGTTCCTAAGGTACTTCTAACTTAATGTTTACTTTACTTTACATTTTATCTATGACAGATGTGTTATAAGCATGTATGCATTTTATATTTATTACACTCTTTATTTTTCTTATAATTTCCTAAACATAAGGTAAACGGCAGTATTTAAAAAAAAATCTGCCCACCCAGTGCATTTTTGTTTGTGTACATAGTGTCAGTTTTTCAGGAAAACATACGTTTGCAGGTAGAAAATGTGAGAATGTTAGATAAATACAGCAATAATCATTCCATTGGTACTCTTTACTTGACAGTGACACATCTTATCTTTGTTGAGAGAAGCGGCAAAAGAAAGATATGGGTAAGTCACATCACAGTTATTAAAAATAATCTTATTAAAGATAAATGTAACACTTTCTTACAAAATAATACACAATTGCAGGTGTTGTATACGCATATCTCGAATATAGAGAAACAGCCATTGACAACAACAGGATCACCATTGTACATTAAATGCAAACATTTTTTTATCGTCACATTTGTTATCCCAAAGGAACGTGATTGTCATGAGATTTATCTTACCTTATTAAAGTTATCTTGTCCAGGTAAAAGAATAGTTTTAGACTGTATAATTATATACCCATATATCTATTTACAAGGTAAAAAATATTGTGTATTCATAATTTTTATTTATCTTGTCTTTTTGTTGCAGCTAATTTAGAAGATTTGTATTGCTTCAATTATCAGGAAAGCGAAGATACACTACCTCAGCATGCAGGGTGGAATTTCTTCAATGTACAAAGTGAATTTCAACGGCAAGGCGTTCCGAATGAAGAATGGTCACTTTCGTATTTAAACACTAATTATGAGGTCAGTACACTCTCATGCATTTTTATTTTGCACATTAACAACTGTATTATCAATTCTTTCAGCTTTGCGATACTTATCCAAGATACTTATATGTTCCTAGTACGTGTACTAACAATATTCTAGTGGGCAGTGCAAAATTTAGAAGCAGAGGAAGATTACCGGTTTTAACATATTTGCATTCAAACAAGGTTCGATGAAACAAACCGTAAAGTCCGAAAATTCAAGTAAAAAACTTGAATGAAACTTTTCAAATAAAAATGATTTGCAGGCTGCTATATGTCGCTGCAGCCAACCGCTCTCAGGATTCAGCGCAAGATGTCCTGAAGATGAGCAAATGATGTATAATATATTATGTACAAATCCTAACTCGACATACATGTATGTTGTCGATACAAGACCACGAGTGAGTATTCGATTAAGAGATAATTATACACATATAAAATTTTTTTTTTTAATTTTTGGAAAGTATAGTTTGATCAGTTCTGAAAGACAATTGATATTTAATTATTTTAATGATAATGCTATAAGTATAAGAAATAGATAGTTTTGTAATTATTCGTAAAGGATCAAAGATATCGTTAAGAATATATAATCAAAAATTAATTTTGTTTAATTAGATCAATGCCTTTGCTAACAGAGCCGCAGGAAAGGGTTACGAAAACGAAAATTTCTACGATAATATTAAATTTCACTTCTTCGGGATAGAAAACATTCACGTAATGAGAACAAGCTTAAATAAACTTTTGGACTGTAAGTATCCTTTAAACTTTGCACGTAAAATATTAGACACTGTTTTACATTATTTTAAAACTTTTATCTTATTTAGTACAAAGGTCGACTTCGATGAGCACATTTTTAAGCGGCCTAGAAAGTAGCGGTTGGCTGAAACACATTCGTTCTATCTTGGAAACTGCTTGGTTCATCGCACGGGCAGTTTCAAACGGCGTGAGCGTAGTTGTGCATTGTAGCGACGGATGGGATCGCACTGCACAAGTTTGTTCTCTGGCTGCGTTACTATTAGATCCATTTTACAGAACGATCCAAGGCTTTCAAGTAAATAATCCAGACTGTTTTTTTTTTTTTTTTCAAGTTTTTACTTAAACCGATATATTCCACGCTCTCTTGAGTACAATTTCATTATAGAAATTCGTTTTTTCAAGGCTTTAATAGAGAAGGATTGGCTGTCGTTTGGTCATAAATTTAGCGATCGTTGTGGCTATGTCAGCAGTGATGGCAAAGAGCTTGCGCCGATATTTACACAATTCATAGATGCAACGTACCAATTGCTACAGCAGTATCCATACAAGTTTCAATTCAATGAGTATTTTCTTCTAACATTACACGATCATGTACATAGCTGTCAACATGGCACATTCATTGGAAATTCGGAGAAAGAAAGGCAAATGTTAAGGTATATATCTCATTTGTCTCGATGAATTTGATGTAAAAGAAAAGAATTGTGATAAAACTGAATTATTATTTTAGATTATCCGAGAGGACGTACTCGTTGTGGGGTTACTTAGCGAATAACACGAATGAATATATAAATCCAATCTATCGTTGCAATCGTTACAATAATGAGGATTCCACTGACGTTCTTCAACCTAAATTGGCGCCGCAAACTATCGTGTAATAAATATGTAACTTTTACGCAACAATACTTTAATCAGTGCAGTCATACAATTCGAATTTAACTCGAATTATTTTTCAGTCTGTGGAGAGGCTTATACTTCAGATTTGAAAACGGAATACAGCCTAGAGAAACGTGTGAGGATTTACTTCTGACGATTCATGATCACACAAGCTCCTTAGAGGATCACGTGAAGCTTCTGCTAAAAGTATCCAACTTTGATAACGAACATAGACGTAGTGTTTTGAGACACAATTTGTAATAAATACTAATTAGATATTCGCCAATTATATTTACAATTTTGATTTTTCGGCTTCAACAGCGAGTCAATTCTTTGGGGCAACTCTTAAATACAAATAACGTTCAAAAGAGGGGAAAACACAAATTCGACAATAAGTTTATGAAGGAGACTTTATCGGAAACTATAATAGAGAACACCGCAAATCACGATGAAAAGGCGAAAGCCAAGTTGAAGGCGAATCAATTGGAGAATGAATTGAAAACGGTCGCTTTAGAATGGAAGTCGTCGCGAAATATGGAGGAATGTGGATGCTCCACTACATTCGATGCTTTCAACAAAAAGGTACATTTGACAAGTATACCTAAACTTGTGTAGCTCCGTTTGTTTCTCTATCTTATTTGCGACAATTTTTCAGCATCACTGTTGGTCCTGCGGCGACGTATTGTGCACAAGATGCATGACAGTGCATACGAAATTGTCTGGGCATCTGTCACAGCGCGCCGTGCCTACGTGCAAATCGTGCTATCAAAGTTCCGGTATATCTGTCACTAGTCCTTAAATGCATCTTATTTCAATGCCGCTGTATACTTATAACTCGTATTTGTACACATATGTCTTTTAGATGAAACAATGAAGAAACGTAGCCTCTCTTAAGCAATATTGTATTATTCCAATTTTATATTTAAGCTTTCCCATCTCTTCGATTTTTATTTCTTTCATGGTCGAGCAATTACAAACAACGTAGTACCTGATTACATTAATATATACCATATAGATTTATTCTTAACTTAAATAACGCAGTAACATTAAAGTTCGTGAATATTACATCAAATAATTCATGAGAAAGATAAATTATTAACTATCGATTATCAACTGCTATGGTAGTTTAATAAATGCTGTTGTGTTTCACGTCGCTGCCTTTTAAAAGGAATATTTATTTTTATTATACATTTTTGTTTAAAAAAAAATCACGGGAACTGCTTTTGCACGATCTGAGTAATTGATTTGACTCCACCATAGTAGTTGAAGAATACTATAATCATTGAATCTTATAAAATCGACTTTGCAACACATCAGGATATGTATATAAATTACAAATCCTTTTGCACTCACATATTACATTCATAACTCATTGACGTCCTTGCTATCTCTAATTTATATCCGACTGTGACACATTAAACTGAGTAAAACGGACACGTTACTCTTTAACGCTACGATATTTTACGATGTCATAACGAAAAGAAAACATACACATAAATATGTTTTAAGGTATTGTCCGTCATGATGGACAGCACTCTTGCAAATTTTCAAGTACAGATGCATCATACATCATTCATTACATGAAAGCGCATGTAATTTGAGAATAGTTTCCCCAAATGCATAATGAAAGTTTATATACGAAGTCGAATCGTCAGTGTCCTTAGACGAAGGAATTAAATACTATCGATCACATTGCAGTGACTGGATTTGCTAGTGTCTGGTAACCCTACTATCCACAGTGGCAAGTGTAATGTGGAATGTGACAATATTACATAAATATCAGCAATAATAATTTCTTTCTTAATAATTCTTTCCTTTTACTATTCTTTATTTGGTTTTCTTCGTCGTGGTCCTTCCTCACTGATCAGTGATGCATTCTACAATAAGCATGTACACATTTATGATTAAGGCACACTTGAAGTGACTTGACCAAAAAGAAAGTAGAAATGCAAAATGTGTTGTAAATTTAGAATTATAGATCTCGTTACGGCACAGTTTTATGGATCTTTTTTCACTCACCTTATCCTCCTTATCCTCCTTATCAATATCGATTACTTCCTCCGTTGCAGTCTCTTTCTCTGCGTCTTCTAGATCTATGGCAGATTCTTGCGTGGCAAGTTCGGGATTTAAAGATTCCTGATTTTCGTTCTCCGCATTTTCTTTCTCTCTGATCTCGCTGCTTATTCCGAAAGGAGATCTTTCCTCTTCTTCATTGAAGTCCGTTTCACTCTGAAATATTTGAAGCAGTGCAAATCAACATTTTGGCACTTAAAAATTTTGCATTCCTATAACAATACTAATAATAAGCAAATAGCATTACATATTAAGTTATTACTTGTACTCTAATAAGCGTTTACAAAGCAACCAAAGGAATACAACAAAATTATCCAATTTCTATATATTTGTAAAAAATGAAGGTACTCTATCTCTTTTTTGTGCAAGAATATTTAAATTATACTTATTGTACATTGACCACATTATACCTCGCGCAAGCAGCAAAAGTACATTATTGTTACTGCAGGTATTGCACATAGAATTATGTACACTGCCCATATCCAAGGATGGTTCGCAGTAAATATTACGATCCGTTGCCACAAAGACCTCTGTATCAAAGAATTACAAAATGATACACATTATATTGCATGAAAGTCTGCTATATACAAAAATATTACATAAATTCTAGCATACGAATGAATCCATGATAAAATTACATTATTACCGACGACAGATGAGGATTGAAATTTGAAGTTAACATTACTTTGTACAGCTATAATTCATTATAAACGATCTAGCATAAAACAATGCAAGTATAATTCGTGTAATCTACATCATTAGCGCTGGCATATACGATAATAACACACTCTTCAGTGTTAAGCAAAAACTTTTAACATTTCGTTTAGCTTTTATTTTCAACGCCTACACGCATGTTGTACCTCACAAGCTCGTTTGCACAAATACCAGATGTAAGCTACAACTGGTATCGCACAATACACGAAATATAGAGCCCACCAGCCTGGTTTATAATTCATCGCTTTCATCATTTGACCCCATAAAGAATCCTGTATATTACAATCCATACTAATGTGAACAATTAATCATCAATCTTCAAATGTCAATCTTTGAATTTCGGAAGATAATCAGCTTATGTTCATGTATTTATAATTGTTATACGTTTTTATCGCAAAATGGTATAATTGTGAAACACATGTGACGAAGAATGGCAAAACATCATCCGACTTGTGAATGAAAAAAAAAATACTCACGGTTTCTTCAGCGATTTTAGCACGCCGAATCTCAAAACTGTCATCCGCCCATTTCTTCGCAACCTCCACATCATCCGCTATAATTATATTGTCGAAGTATATGTTGGGAGACATTGACCATAGCTCAAAACCGATGGCGCTCTAAAACATTTTCACAAGCCTCAAGTATTGTACAATAATTATCATGTAGTTAAAACACACTCTGTTATTTACATACAATTGGTAACATCTTAAATGGATTCTCGTCGTTGAAATAATCGGGATTGTGTACGAGTCTAGGCTTCCATTTTCCCTTGTAATTAGGATTGTTGACGAGGGGCGGCAGCCATTTGCCTTTGTATCGCGGATTTTTCTTCATTTTCTGCTTATACGGGCCGCAGCCAGGAGCTTCCGCGCATTTTGGATTCGGTATTTCCGGAGCTTCCCATTCTCCGTCCATCTCAACGTCCCAATCGTCGGGCTTGACAGAATCCGGATTCGGTATCGTAGGCGGTTCATCCTCGAGCCATCCCTCAGGCATAATGTCCGTCTCATCGACTATCTGCGCCGGAGCATCTTCGTCCCAATCTTCAGGCTTTTCCGCCAATGGGTCGGGAATCTTTTCTCTGTCATCCCAATCCTCAGGCTGCTTATCCTCGGGATCTTCTATCTCCAGAGGCGGATTTATTGGAGGAATAAAATCGTCTAACAACGAGCCTGCACTTACAAATTTATTATCTATTTTGATTTGGTAACTATTATCAGGCCGTATAATCAATGTATATAAATGCGGGATTTTATCCTGGAAATAATCTTCTAGTGAATCCTTTGATTTCTTACAATGTTTTTCTGAGACTGTACCATTTAATGGATTTTTATGTCGAAATATAAAATGAAGCTGAAAGATGAAAAATAAAAATGTAAATTTTAAATATATATATCAATATGTATGCATAGTCTGTTCCTTTAAACATTAAATTTAATTAAAATTTAACTTGTTTACAGAGCCAGAAAAGACAAGTTAATTAATTTTTACTGATGTTTATAAGAACAAACTTATAAATATTATATCACTGGCATATCAAAATAAAAACTCAACAATGACTCAACAAATTTGCATTTTTTGGCTCAAAATTAATATTCTTAGAGGAAGAAAATCTTTAGAAAAATATTAATTTATAAATATTTATAGTTATTTTATATTGATATAATGTAACAGTAAATGGAAAAAAATTTAGAAAATATTTATTTTTATTAAAGTATGCACTGATAAATTCATTATTGACTTGAGATAAGATAAAGTACATATGTTAATACCTTGTGATCCTTGCCACATATATCAGGCCCGAACATTATAGTATATGGTGTTTTATCATGGAACTGTTTCAAGTCTCCATAGTTATCATCTAACGTAAGCAATTTGAGATAGGCACCACCGCATTCCTGTCCTTGTTGGAAATTAACTTCATATTGTACAATTAAGGGTTTGTCTTCAAAATAAAATGGCTTAGCTAATAAAGTAGAGATAGCAGCGTGTCTAGCTTTGCTCTTAAGCACTAATCCTAGATCTCCGCTCATGGCAAACTTGTCAAGCTCTTCAATAGCCCAAATTCCTAAGGAATAATAAAAAAATGAAATAATAAAAAAATAATTTTATATTTTGTAAAGAGTATGCATAGAGAAAATATTATCAACCATCAAATTTAGCAATATCTTCATCAATATTCTCCTTCTTTGCTTCTGACAATACCCATGTATTCTTGAATTTTTCTTCATCATCAAAATTTTCTGCTAAGTAAACAAAGCCTGAAGGTTCTGGACTTTTGTAAGGTGGTTCCTGTATTTCATCACTAAAATCTTCATCATGTTTTCCATTTGCATTCAATATATTAAAGCACACACTCAAAAAAGTTATTAATATGACACACGCTATAATTCTTGCCATTTCATATTCCTGAAATAAAAAAGATAAGTGTGTATCGTTAGTAATTCTTAATTGATGAATACAGTTGCAAAAAAAAATAATTCTTTTATCAAAGAATAAAAAAATAATTACATTGTTTTATTTAAAAAAATACATATTGGTTACATTTCTAAAATTTGCATACTAGAAAAGAACATAGAGCAGTCAGTTGACACTTAACCTCAAAATTATAATATGCATATCACATCGAAAATGACTACAGCGTGAATGAAGTTAAAGTGAATTTATGTGTCCAATTAAATTAGTTTATATTACACAGCATGTGTTACATAAATGAATATTGTCTTACCGATATAAAGAAGTTCGAACTGCAAATTTCTCACAGAAAATAGATATACGTAATAGTTTATACACTGCAAGAACGCGTATTATTTAATTATTTAATAACGATAATTTTAATCTATTTACACGTAAGAGATATCCTCCTATATGATGTGTTCCTAAAAGGAGCGACACTTCCGGAAATTACCGGCGAAATTGCGTTAATGGGGCGCTGACCCTGCGTTTGATCGAGGCTATAATTGAATTTGTTATCCTATACTTTCGTTCGCGATATCCACACGTATATCGAAGGATAAAATAAATATAATACCGAATATATAGAACAGCAATGTATGTTTTCGTCAACGGTATCTTAGGCCCGAGTGACAGAGCCGCTCGTTTCAATTGTACTTTCTACTCCTATTTCTTTCTTCTTTCTCCCTCCGATGCCAGAGTAGTATGTTTTATCCGTAAAGAGTGCAAGAAAATTCTCGACGTTACATATCTTACGCCATCAACAAGATTACTACTAAAGACTGACAACTCTGAGTTAAATTTTGTGACCAACAGTGAAGGCAACTGAAAAACATAATATTACCAACTATTTCGATCAATGATTGGTTTATACATAATACTATTTCAACTTTTAATTATTATTTAAATGTTTTAAAATGTATACGCATGTGTTTTGACGCTAAAAAATAAGAAAATTTATTCAATTATATTACTTACAATTACATTTCTTCAAATATATATATATATATGTATATATCATACTCCACAATCTTTTGATTATTTCATTTTGCTCTATACCAAAATTATTAAAATTAATAAATGATATATTTATCACATGGAAATATATTTATTGTGTTTTCAATGGTGATGGAGAAAAATATCTTGTAACTGTCCTTATGACCATAGCAGCACTAGAAAACATTTCAATATTAATGAATTTGTATAGTTAATAGAGATCAGATCTTAAAATGAATAATATACCTTAATATAGCAATCACTCCAGCTGGCATTATTTTACCACTGTTGTAAAATCGATAACCCATCAAGCCTCCAAGAGCTGTACTAGTCCCTAAAAAGACTGCAACATTGGTCGGATCTTGAGAAGTCTGATAAGCTCCATAACCTAGAGCAGATCCGAAAAGAAGACCAGCAACCAACGATGGAATAGAACCTGCAAAAGATAAAAAAAGTGTTTTTCACAACATGTTATTTATACAACATATCAAACACTGAGAGATGTTAGTAAACACTCGTGTGTTTAATAATGAATTCAGTCAGCAAACTCACTTGATTTTACATAACCAAATATTCCACCACCAGCCACCGCGGCAGCGTACGCGAATGCAGGAATATCAATAGGCATTTCTATAAAAATCACTTTAAATCTCTTCAAATATTACACCATGTGACGCCTGTTGATATCAGTTACTGAATGACATGCAGAATGAGATACGAATTATATATGTGTACAAACACTGATGGACATACACTGATATAGCAACTCGTAGAAAATCCCTTTCCTCTCCGATTCGCTTACTGATTTGCAGCGCTATCTGCATTTTATTTTGTAGATACAATACGGATACGTATTAAATAATGTTTTACCAACAAGCAAGAAGTATTAAAAAATGGCTACAAAGTTCTATACATATAGGCCCTACGCACAATAGAGAAGATATTAGGGGTAAGAATAAATATTAAATATTAGGAAGAGCAATTTTCATTTTCCTTTAAATAAGGAAACGGAATGGATTAATTATTTCTAATTCTTATTTCCTAATTTATGATACGTTAATCCATTTCATTTTCTTGTTTTGATATGAAATAATATCAATTTCCGGTAATTATTTAGAATAGCTACCTCAATTTTGATTTTGTAATTAATTTCTCTGCAAGAATGTGTCAATCAAATTTGTCTGATTAAATTTCAAAATCCAGAAATATACTTGTTGCACATAATTTTGCAATAGTATTGCAATCAAAAAAATGAGAAATTGACTGCAAGAACAAAGTATAGGTTATTTATTTATTTTTACATGATTTTACACAAGATTCAGTTTAATTGTTTATTTTTCATAAAAATTTACCATTTTAAAAACCTATTGCAATACTCTATTATAATAATAATTTATAATGTAATATTATCATATAATCATTAATATACTATGTATAAAATAAAAATCCAATTAAATATGGTTAGAACATAACTTAATAAATTTTAAATAAAAAATGTTATAAGTTTGTGCACATTGCGACAAGTATTTTATAATCTGCAATTGAAGAAAGAAGTAAGAATACAAGTATCTAGAAATATTGATTATAATAAACATTTTACATTAATATTTGTCGTTTCGATGACTTATTTAATGAAATAATAGAAATTAATGACAAATTTTCTTATTTCTTATTTATTTGACAATTATATGGATTGTTTGAAGACTGAGAATAGTGATATAATCATATGGATATACATACAGGGATAAGACAAAGTCATATACTAGAATCTTTATGAAAGACAGAGTAGAATTATTTTAGTTTTTCTATTGATAAATCGGAAAGTCATGATCGATGACATCACACCAGCAAGCGTATAAATACGCGTATAACTCTCGATAACAGTTGGACTTGTCTCGGCTTGTGGTGAGAAGTACATAGCGGTCTAGCTATGCTTTCGCATAATTTACTTATTAACACCGGGAACATACTCTCCCTGAGTGAAGCCAGGCAGAAAGCGAGCCAAAATTCCACAGATGAGGTCAGTTATTACATAATATTACGTACTTCTTACTGCCATGCAATTAGATAACATTTTTTGTCGTTGACAGTGATTGATTACAATGTGGAGGTTGAGGTTATGTTACATTGTTTGCAATATATTAATTTCGAAATTATTCTTTGATTATATAATTATGCATATATCACTTCTCCGTTGATTTATTTCAGTTGATTGAGACATTAAAAATTATCTTAAATGACAAACAAAGCAAGGGAGATGGTACAACAGTTGTATGTACATTGGAATTTTATTAATTTAGTTTGAATTGAGACCGCTTAAATATTTAATGAATTTTTATAAATTACAATTATAGATTAATGGAAAGGAGGATACAAGTTTACAGGATGTGGATAGAAAAGACTTAAAGGTTACTGTTAAAATATTTATCTCTTCGCCTAATGTTGATTCGTTAAAAGAAGCATTGGACCAAGGTATCAATCACGATTAATTGTCTGTTAATTGATAATACATTTATACAGATTTCTAATAAATATATTAACTCGTTGTAGCATTTAAAGCATTACATACGAATACTATAGAGTCTTTAGTGATAGCTTACAAAAGTATTGAAAATCCAGAAGATATGTTGTCATCGTTAAAATGTATATGGTCTGTAATAGAAGATTATATAAAAGTTGACAAATTATCAAGTGTTGGATTAAGTGACATAAATACAAATACATTCATTGAATTGTTTCAGTGGGCCAATGTAAGAATAAGTTATTATACAAACTAATATCTTTTTATAATATGTTTCATGCAGCATACTCAATCTGTATACAAATTCTATTCATTGTAGATAAAGCCAAATATTGTACAAATTAATTTAGCCACATGTTGTGTGGTACCACCAGCATTGCAAGCATTTACTAAGGAAAATGATATTCAGTTGCTAACCCACAGTGATCCATGTCGTAAGTATCATTCAGTTAAAACTATTGATTGATTAGGATTTGTTTTATTTTTTCGATTTCTATTTCTAGAAATCCTGCCTCAAGAAGTACTAGAAGATATATTTGGTAGCGCTGCTCATTTGCATTGGCTGATAAGATATCAGATACATTTAAAATGTCGTGGTATTTTATCATCAAAAGGATATTTACTGCATATTAATAAGTCAAATATTAATCCTTAACATTGGTAATACTGCTAAACATTATTGCTATTTATCAGTATGCGGGTTAATGTGGTGCTTATAGTTAAATGAATATATATCACATATACTATAATATAAAGGATATGCACACATATAGATTCATATTTTTTAATTTATTACCATGACGTAAATTATTTAAACATTGAGCTTCGTGATTATTAGCATTTTAAATTTTTCATTGTACATATTATATAGAATCATATATATATTATTGCATATCTTTTTAAAAAATTTTTTTTTACTAGTAAATTTATATTGTACAGTTTTATATAAATTTTTATAGAAAAATGTAGAAAATACGTATTTTTTTAGCAAAAGTGTTATTATCAAAATGTTGTTTTATTATAATATCTTGATAATATCCGAAAACAGTTTGAGAGATAAATATGTATAGTATATGAATATCTTGTTCAAGTTCTTGCAAAAAAAAAATGAATAAATTGGATATTGTAAAGCACTACATTTTCTAAATGTATTGTAAAATGTATTCTAGTACACGCATATAAATTTTCCAGCTAGTAGGAAACTAACACGATGCGAATGTGGAACTGTCCAGTAGTGTTGGGTATAAGCGATCGTTAGAATTGAAATGTGGAAGCCAAAGTATTAAGAGAAATGAATGTGTCATATAATATTACGGTATTATTATTAAGACAGTGAATGCATTTTCAACTTTTTTTAAACGCAAATAAGTAATAGTAACGTTGAGAATAAAAACGAGTTATGCGAATACATGGATCAATATATGTGAGTATATGTACATGCAAATTATATTATGTACGAAATGACAATCGTTAGATTATGTTCGATTTGAAAAACCTATCAAAAGTAAATGTTGTATGTGCAGATAATGTGACAGTGTTATCGTCCTTTTCGAGCGGCTCGTAGCTCTTGCTAGCGGTAGCCGATCGGGAGTCAGCCGAACGGCGGTGACACCGAAGGAGAATCCTACCTTTTGTATGTGTATATGTGTGTCCCCGGCGTCGCCGTCGTCGTCGTCCTCATCGTCATCGTCGTCCTCGTCGTAGACCGGCCCCGATATATGCGCCTTGTTTTTCCTTTGCCACACCACTGCCTTGTGCTCCTGCCTTCTCCCTGCGCTGCCGGGAGCCCTTTTGCGTTAAGCCGCACCGCGTGGCACACACACAATGCGGGGACGACGACAACGAAGCAATGGGACAGGACCTTCGGCGGACTGTAGGATAGCACAAACGCCGCCTCGCTTTCTTTCTCTCTCTTTCTCTTCCTTCTTTCGTCGTGGCGGATTCAGCGAACCTGGAACAAACGCGAGCGATTCATAAGTAAAGAAAATTATTTCAAATTTTGAAGAGACCATTTAATAATGCAATTAATGTTAACATCAACGTATAGTTTATTATGTCTAATAAGTTACCGATTATTTATAATTTTTATAGTAAACAGTGAATACTGTATATACAGAGTAAGGGATTATTGTTATCAGGAATATCGTAAAACTTGAAGCACGTGTTTTAAAAATCCGTCACTGCCTTTCTATTCTCTTTTATCTCGTTCACTCTTTCGTCCTTGTCGCGTGAGTCCTTCGCCGACACACGCACACCCTTACTCACCGCGTTCATCATTCCACCCTCTTCGTTTCTCGTTCGGTTCCTTCCTTCCTTCCGTCTCTTTTAAATACGCATTTACCCACACATACGCGCGGGAGTACGTATACATTCGCTGTCCTGCTCTTTCTTTTACGACCACTGCGAAAAGCAGAGTATGCGAACGCCGCGCGATACTATGTTATGCCTGCGGATCGCGGGTCTGACATACTTTGTATGTTAATGCCACATAATGTCGGTTTTGTTCCTCTTTTCAGCATTTATTTGTTCGGCTCTCTTCTTCGCGTTCGGCCACCGCTTTTGTCGCATCGTAGTGCTCGTACCTCGTGGCCCCGTCTCTCAAATCGTCTCGTCCGATCGTCCGGAGTGATCGTCTAAGAGTGACAATTTTGATCCGAATTGCAAAATAGAAACGTGTGAAGAGAGTTATTAGGTATTATACCTCACAAATCGTGATTTTTAAAAAATGAATTTTTAACATGCACAGTCAAACATGTGTACGAGGAATGTTTAATAAATCAGTTTGATTATATTCCAGCAGATTAACCAAGAGAAAAGACACAAATCCGGAAATAGGAATCTCTTATTGCCGTCGTAGAGTTTGTCCTTTAAATTTGAAGATGCGTTCGAGAGCTCGTAAACAATGATAGATTCTTGAAACTAAGCATGCGATAAACAAGTGAAGTCGCACAACACGCAGAATGAACAATTAATAATAAAACATGATGGTTATAAGACATGAATGCGTTGCGAGCCGATGTGCGTTACATAACATAAATTATATATACATCGCAGAAACGGCATTAAGACGAAAAGGAGGGAGAAATCGGACAAGAATCGGCGGCAAGAACAGCAACAACAACAGCAACGGCAACTTGGCAGTAGCGAGTAAACGCAAAAGCACCCTTGCTCGGCCCCGCGCGCGATGCAAAGACGGGGTATAAATAAGCGGCTGTCGTTTGCGGAAGCAGAAAACGGGCAAAAGGACAGAAATAAAGAAGAACTCGAGGAAGAAAGGGAGCCAGCGATGGAGAAAGGAATAAATAAGTCGGGGCGGAAAGAGAGAGAGAGAGAGGAGGGGGAGAAGGAGTAGAGTCGGCAGTACCGGCAGTGGGCCCAGCTCTCAAGTCCCTTGTCGCTTTGCTCGACCAACGTCCCGATCTACTACTTTTGCGGTATACGACCGTCCTTTCGCATTGGAAGCTTTTATTTTCGCCGTGTGCGAAAACGCGTCCGCCGAGCCGAACAAACACAGTCTGGCAGGTGTATCCGCATCTCGTTATCTGGAGAACCACGTCTCTCGGATTATGGCTCGGTCTCGGAGATTTGTTCGCTGAAAATGAAATGCATTGTTGGAGGTGAATAATACTGAATAATCTAATTCCCAATAATTAAAGACATTAAAAAGATTATAGAGGATTCACAAACGATTTAACGACGTTGAAAGATTAATTACGACACATTCGAATAAACTTGCATAATCAAGCCATGCATATGTATAGCAAGATCAATCAATTACGTATCTGATGTAAGAAACTGCAATAATATGGTATTCCTTACATTGACACATTAACTGGTCAATTTTTCTATGCATATGCATTATGCAGTTATGCAAGTTTGTTTAGATTTTAACAGCTGAAAAACACACAGTTCTCTGTGCATAAACCGTAAATTCTGAATAAATGCATTGCCAAACTTGTTTATGGCACATGATGATAGACACAAGTGAAAAAGACGCTTATGAAAGAGAATCTGATAAATCATAATATTAAAAATTGAAGAACTCTTATGAATATATATTTAATTAATAAGACCACTAGTTTTTAATTAACTGTGAATCAATCTTTTTTCGACTTTATGTTAAAATATATACAAAAAATTGAAAAACGAAGCACTGGGTAACTAGAAAAAAAGCCAGAAGATTTGAAATGCATTATATTAATCTAGCATAGAAATTTTAATTGTTAAAGGTTGAGACACCCTGTATACGTGTACGCGAGCACATAGTGTGCATATATGCGGTGACTGCAAACAGAACCGCGTAGAACAGAACGGAGCGGAACCGAATGAAACGGAACAGCGGCGAACGCAGCGTAGAAGCGCGAGTTGACTGCAGCAGCAGGGGCGCAGCATGTTTATTGGCGCATCTCACAGTCTTAAATCTTTATGTTGTCTCCGCGACGGGGTCTGCTATCCCCCTGTCCCATTGGCGAGCTTCTTCCACACGCGGAGAAAGAGGGAGAATCTGAGGCACCGGCTACGGAAAAGGGCAAGAAGGAACGCGAATCGGCGGTCAGGAAGAGCGAGAAAGAGGCTCTCTCAGGACACATCGGGAGAGATATATCTTCTCGGGAGAGTTGTGGTCTCGCGAAATCGAGTCAAGAGTCGGATAAACCAACGACCAAGAGGCGCATCCACCGCATTACGCACACAGAAGCTGCGATTTTAACGTGCCTCTAGAAATGGCCGCATGTCATTCCGAGGAATATATCCTGTCGGTGCTAAAAGCGCAATATAGGTAAGAATTATTAATGCTCTTTCTCTCTCTGTCGCATTTTCAATATAAGAAGAGCGACAAAAAGAGCCGAACGTAGTGCACGCGGCTCGATTACATCATAGAAAATTGATGGAAAGTAAAAATGCTGCTACATTTAGTCACTTTTGATCTTTAAAAATCATACCCCTGTTTAAAGGATCTATTAATGATCTACTTTGTGATCTATTTTAGGAAATAAAAATCAAAAATATAAAAGGATCGATTATATTTTGAATCATATGTTCGATAAACGAGTTTGTAATCTTTGCACATTGAATCGCGCCGATCGAGATATCGTTTTCGACTCAGTTCACGCGGGTTCGTCAGTCGGGCGAGATGCGTGTTCGCGTTCTGTTGGAGGTGTGAAATCGATTTACGTGACATCCTCGTAGTAGAATAAACGCGGTATACGTTGTTATTATTGCTACAGGTATAAAGACGCGTTGGCGCATGTTATTTTCGACGAAACAGCCGTAGTGACAATGGTCGGTGTTGTCACCGATGGCAATGGTGAGTTATAACCAATACATATCATTTGTCAAACTATGTCGTACAAATTAAGTAAACAGCCAATAAGCAATCGTTGCTCTGGAACGATATTCGTGTTTAATATGCGTATTAATGAAAATGTAAGTTGAAGCAAGGAGAAAATTTTGATATCATTGTTTCAGCGTTCCAATTTCAACCGTTATTTTTGAATTGTAGTACACGCAATTTTTAATGGTTTTCCGAACACATTCTATGAGGTGATGCCATCTATTTTTTACCACCAATTTTGAATTATTTAGTTGCACGCGAAATTCGTAATAGTTTTTTGAACACATACGATAGTAAATTTATTTATTTGCGAGAGATGGCACCACCGAAACATGTAGCAGGCTGAAATTGTCTCGCATTCAAATGAACAAATTCGGCTCGCAAAGTAGAATGGCGACGCGAAGCAATACGGCTTTGGCGAACATTTTGCCGAGATCTTAGTCGCATTTGCATATTTCGCATATAAAGGTATTTTGAAATATATAACGTAAAAAGAAAGCGGAAAATATTAGCATTAATTAATGTCTAACGCATTGCCATTGACGTATTTTATGCGACGAAAGAAAAATATGATTATTAATCGGTTATTTGGATGTTGATTTAATTAGAGTAGATATAATTGCTATCACAAACAATAAACTCATTTGTGACGTAAAGATTTACTTATCTGCGTATTTTGACTTTTCAGATTTGCTACAACACCGGAGTTTCGAGTACTTTTTGCACTTTGGACATCCGAGATTATCAGCACGGCGATCGATGCTGCACGGATATCATGAAAGGTATGTGCTAGATGCATCACTTAAGTTTATTCGCAAAAGGAGAAACGGTGCGGCATTTTGCCGCGCGATTTCCCGGTATCGGCGCGATACCGCTGGCGAGGCTTTGACGTTCCCTAAGTGAAATATCATCGGCAATCATTCACGCGAGATCTTTATCGCTTAGCGGCCAACGTGATCCTTGACCCGGCACCGAACTCGGGAGCGGTTTTATGCGAGCTCCCGCGGCGCCCCCGCGGGTGCCGCCGTTGCGAGGAGTATCGTTCGGGGATCCCGCACAGGCGATCGGCGGTAGGAATGTAACGCGCCTCCTCACGAGGCATAGAGTTCCGCGCGAGAATCGCGACGGTGGAATCGGCAAAAAAGTATTCGCGCGCGACGCCACGACGTTTCGTACGCAGGGACGCAGGGACTCGATAATAAATAAGCTTCGGCGCGTTTCCCCTCGCGCGAGCACGCGCGCGATAGCGCGACACGACTTCCGATATTCGAGTATCTTATCTGCCGGGCCCCGATACATTGCGGAATGCGCGCCGCGCGATCGGGTAATAAAAACGGAATGGGAATACGCTCTCTTTCGCCGCGCGAGCCTCTCGATAATCCGGAACACGCCAGGACCTCCCGTATTAGCGTTTCGGGTTGTTTACGAACTTCTCCGCACATTTGTTAGAATCGGAAGTCACGCGAAAAATGGAAATGGAATCTGACGGACACTTCTTCCGTAATAATCAAACGGTTGAAACTTGAGTAGAAACCGTTCGACTACGGAGAAATTTCGAGAACGCGGGTTGGAATATCTTCCAATAGAAACTGAACTGATTCACAGTCGGAGATTAAAAAAAAAAAAAAAAGAAAAGATCTCAATTGTTCGTAGCATCGAAGCTTACGTGTTTCAAGCCGGCTCATGAATAGAAGTCGAATCACGGCGAGATGCGCCGCGCCGGTTTCGAAAGATGATAATTAGGCTTTTTACGGTACACGGCCAATTCCAATCTGCATTGTGTTTTGCGCGAGGTGAATTCTCTCGCGGCGAGGAAATCGCGCAATACTTTTAGGCCCCCCGGTACACACTGTTGCGAAAAAGTGAAATGTGTTGTACCATTGCGTTTCCATTGTTGTGTCACGGGGAGGCGTAAAACGGGGCAAGGTTGCATTCGCGATTGTTCGAAAAATCTCACATAAGTTCAAGTGGGCGCCGAATCTTTCGACAAGTTCTATTATTTCGTATGTATTTCTCCTCAACGCGCTGGCGTCGATTAATTTTTCAGAGATGCCAATTGCAGTTTGATTTGTACCCTAATTTCATGAAGGGAAATTTATTTAGACGTCTCTGAACCTCGTGGAAAGAAGACGTCGCGGTAGGAGAAACGGCCGTAGGATAACGAGAAAATGGGAGAGAAAAAGAGAGACAGCATTAGACGCCTGCTTGCCATTGTGAAAATGTCGGGGGATCCCTGACCTCCGGCGGCTGCTCGCTTTAATTACGTTTGTCATTTCATAGCCGGTGGTGTCTCATTATAAAGAAAGTTGGAGATATAACTCAGCACTTGTTGCGAACCTAGGTGGCCTCTTTCTGGTAACGGCACTAACCAGCCCAAGACCAGACGACCGACAGCGACCGACCGTCCGACCGAGCGACCACAGTCATGAGGACCCCTTTTACCTTACGTTATAGCCCTCCGCGTGCCGCTCTTCGCATCGCCGCTCTAGATCTTCGGATAAGAGCGAACACCATTTTAGCGGTTCCTTACACACCAGACATCCGCTGCCTTCCCGCGTGCACAGAGGCCCCGGCGGCGGAGGCCTCGCTGCATTTTTTTCCGCGCGAATGTGTCAAGCGACCGCGACGCGGGAGGGAAAGACGCGAAGGAAGGGGATGACGGACGGACGCCGAGATAAAGAGGAGGGGAGCACTAAAGAAGGATAGGTGTACACGCGCGTCAGCCGAAACCTTCTAATCCCACGTACGCACACACGGGTGCCCGCGCGGATTCGTCGCGTGAGACCGAGCGGTGGAAGAGGCAGAGAAGAAAAAACGGGATAGCGTACCGTTTTGCGCACCGCGATAAGGGTTTCGCTTCTCCGCGGCGTTGTTTCTGCGCGCAATAAAAGCCAAGCGTTATATTCGCCGATTTGTTTGCGCGTTCCGCTGGACCAACGGCCGCGCGCTACCGTTTCGATTAATCTCGACCTTATCTTGACGACTGTATCTCGGCGAGAAATTAAATTAAAATACGCGGCGTAAATCATCGAGGGATTTTCGTGCGCGAGATTGAAGTATCGATAACGACGCTTAATTAGTCCATTAAGCGCCACTTAAGTCCGATTATCCGATTCAGATCGATTTGTTAGTATTTCGAAATCGCAATTAGCACGGAATCAAACATCGCTCCCCGAGTTTTCTCCCGATTTCAGTGGCGGATGTTGCTTATCTGCGAGGTCTCCGCTGTTTATCCGGTAACGTTACTTCGCCCCCGAGACGCCTAATCGCGCATACTTTGTATTCAGGTTAATTTCGCATTTAATTGCAGATTTATCTGTTTACGAGACCTATTCGCGCTGTACTGTTAGAACGATAATCAATCTCACCGACGAACGGTGAGAAGATCCGTCATTTCATAAAATTGCGTGCTGCACAACGTCGTTGAAATCGCAATTTATAATTGTAGCAGAGCGTAAGAAAATAACTAATGCACGGTAACGTTAACAATTATAATTAGATATAGTACAGGAAACTGTGCGCATTTATTGAAAGTATATTACAATTTCAACATGATAAGTGAACAGTAATTATAGTAGTGTTTAAATCACACAAACCTTTGCTTGTATGCTATTACGCTAATCGGCGTAATCTTATCACATTATTATTTTTTTATTAAACCTTAGAGAATCCTGTTTTTTTTTTTCAATGTTTAAATATTAGTGATCTTTTGCATTGAACCGGGGCGATCACACAGCTCGCGATCTTAAGTTCAACGATAAATTCTCCGGGCAATTTGCAGTCGATTTTTTCCGAACGATCTCTCTCTCTCTCTCTATAGAGGCACCATCGACACACTGATTTCGGCCGAATCGAGAAAGCGGCGACGGCTCCTCGCCGTCGTGATCGAGATGACATTTTTCCCAGGTTGGCTCGCGTGCATATAACTCGATTGCGATTTGCGTATGAATCCCGGCGGCTCGGCATTCGATCGCACATAAAATCTAGCTTTGCATGCTGATAAGGGGGCCCCTGCGCGCACCTGTGTGCGCGCGCCACACAGCGGCCCCGCTCACGTGTATACACACGCGGATACGCATAAAGAGGCCCCAGCCGCGCTATATTACACCTCTCTCCCTCCCCTCGTTTCCGACCCCTCCCCCAACCTCCCTCTCGCGCTCTCTTTTTCTTTTCTTCTCTCTCTCTCTCCCCTCCTCGCTCCGTCCTTCTCTCTCTCTCTCTCTCGTTCTTTCTCTCCTCTAAGCGTGTACGCGCGCACGCAGATCCCGCGTGTCGATGTGGGTACGGTTATTAGCCCAGAAAGCAAGGCCCCTGCTTCCGGTGTAGGCACTTCAGTTCGAGAGTTTCTTAACCCCTTCTTACATGACTCTTGCTCGGCCTGGCCTGGCCTAAGACTCTGCCCCGGCTTGGCCTGTTGTCGGTTGCGGGTGGTAGGTAGGTACGGTACCGTAGAGATACGGCAGCGCGCTAGGCTTATACAGGGTGTTCTGCGACGTGTTCGACAAACTTCGCTCGCGAACTCTCCCTGTCGATCTGCAAGTTCGATCATCCTCTTGGCAATGGTATTGAAACGGTTGTTCAATCGCAAGCAATTGAATCCATTGATGATGCGACAGATATTTTAGGAGCAAATAAATTAATTTCGAAATGTATTCTATTTTCACTGAGATATTTCGTGGGAAGAAATTGCGAGGGTAAACACGCGTGTGTGGCGTTCGATCGGGACTTCGTCGAGGCAACGCCTATTTAAGATTCGTTGCAAAAATTATAGACGAAGCTTGATTGAATAGCAGTTTGCGAACACCCTGTATGGATGTAACCGGCGTGTATGTATATGTCGGGGTAGATTACCAATGGTGAACCCGTCATTTTTTCCCGCGGCGAGGTGGACTCGACCTGTCTCACCGGGAGCTCTCATAGATTTCGAGAGACACCGAACAATGCGCACGACTCCGTGTACGTGATCTCGGCTGTCGTTACAGTAGCGATTCGAACATCGCATTAATTTATAGATTAGAAAAGCTTTTAACATTATAAAACAATGTAAAAAAGAGTTGTAAGGCAAGAATTTATACTGTGAAAACGCGGAGATTGTAATACGTTTGGCGGCATGATATAAAAATGATTTCTAAAGCCATCACATTGAGATGATAAAAACAAGAGAAAAATTCCAAAATGACGATAGAAATATCTTCTGACGAAAAAATTTCGTGTTTTTAAAATAACTTTTCCGTTATTTTACTTATTTTCTATGTCGCATCGTGCATCTAAATGATGTCGTTAAAGTTGTTATAATTGGCTATAAAATAGTGAGTGTTAATGCTTTAGTGCCGCCAATAGGCATTATCTGGAAATTTTTTAAACAATTTAATTTGAAATAAAATTTTGCCACAACCGAGTTTGATAATGCGACCGGGCGAATAGCTAGACCGTGCATAATTTCTGGATAGAACGGATTTTGCGGTATCCTCGGGGAGTCGCAGAGTCGCAGAGCCGAGGCGTTCGCGGTCGTTTCGAAAGTGATGACCCCGCGCGAGCGGTAAAGGTGCGTGCAGCTGCTTCCTCCTCGGAGCGTTTTATACGTGTGGAACAACACTAATGCGATGGAGATTAGCTTACCTGGGGTTCCCATGAACTATTTTTGAGTTTAATCGTTGCGCTGATCTGCTGTTACACGCTGTACATTACATACGAGGCCTACGTAGTAACAGATAATTACTCCGCGGCTTGGACGGGCGGAACGAGAGGGGAGAGAGACGTTCCTGGATCGCTAATGAGGCTCTCTGGAATATTATCGATGCGTACGTAGCGTGCTTATAACCGTTCCTCCCGGCCGATGAATTTTCCATTCTTTCTTCAGCGCCACATCAGGAAATCCTTTGCTTTTCCAGTTGTAAATAAAACATGGACGTTGTATTCATTTTCGTTTGTTTCCTGTTCCAGAGTTTTTAAGCGGTAACGTTCTCTTTCATGGGCTGACATTTGACTCTCTCGATTTCTTAAATGTTGTAAAAATATTTTCTACAATAATTTCTTCTAAGAATAATTTATTCTAAGAATATTCTTCATCGGGGAATTCTTCAGAGTACAGATTTCACATCTATTTGCATTCGTTTTCTGATCTGAGGCCGCGATATCTCTCCCGAAAAGGAATTTTGTACGATTAGAATATTCATAATACGCTAAAAGACTGTTCTTTTGTTTCTTACCGTCGAACCGATTTCATCACTCATGAGCGCGTATCGCGAAATCGTTTGGGTTACAGGTGAGGGATTAAAAAGTCGCTCTTCGACTTTTCTCTCTCTCTCTCTCTCTCTCTCTCTCTAGTTGAGAACTCACGTGAAAAATGAGATTATACGCACGCAACCGTAATGCTTAAGCCACGTTGATGTAACTCGATGTTAGATCCGAGTAGCTTGTTGACATTTTCAGAAACAGATAATGAATTGTTAGTTTATTTATGTGTTAAAGTGAAAAGAACAAATACGCGCGCACATTAAACACGTACTCGCGCAAGCGTACTTTTGACGAGCGCTGTCGCACTATTCAAATAGCGGACTCGCTAAAATCGCACGGTAAAAGCTGTTGCAACGTCGGAAGTGGCAATGCCCGGCGAGCGTACGGTTCTCAAAGGGTTAATTGGGCATGGTAACTCTCTTCAGGTGACCAAGCTTCATGGGAGTGTGACGAGGGAAATCCCGATTTCGCGCGACGGAATCAAATACAATGCCTCGCGTCTCGATTTATAACACCCTATAGACGAACGTCCCGTCTTCATTCACCTTGCGACCGGCAAGTACGGAGCGACCTTGCGCGTCAATGTTCGTTACACCTTGCTGACAGCGAAATATCAGCGTGTATGCACATATATCTTTGCGTGCGCGCCTCTGAATACATTAATGTTACCCATTGCCTTTGCTGCTATTGAAAAGAAATAGAAATAAGAAAAAATTATTTTATCTTTAATAAGTATTTCTCGCGAAATAATTATTCAAAGTATATTATGATTTTTTTTTTGTTGATCAAACGTATAATTTTTTTTCATTTGCGATATAATAATCTTTTTGAGATACGTATGTTAACATTTTGTTGCACAATCTTATTCACATGTACGTCTTGTGCGCGTTAAGCGTATATTCGGTCTCGAAACCGATGGCGTTGTACTCGGAACTCCATCGACCCTTCATTATACGCCGTCTCCAATCACGTGTGACAAATTATTCCCGCGTCACTTCCTTTAGTGCACTGACGAGATTTCAGGTACGACCTAGAAGACTGTCTGACAGCCATGCTCAATTCTCTGTATATAATACACACACGTCGATACTTTGTGGGAAGAATAACGAGATAATAATTGCGATTATTTAGGTGTAATTTGTCAAAATTTGAGGTTCTGAATAAAAAAACTTGTGTCTCGCAACCAATTCCAACCAGATTTAGAATATTTACTATGAAAAATTGAAATATCGCGAATAAAATCATAGTTTCTTGCAAAGTTTCGGCTAAAAGAAAACCGTTTTCCAATTCTATACAATATTGCCTGGCTGAGTGTAGCATATTTAACGGGTATCTTTGAAATATAGAATATTTCATCGTGTGTGAATTCTCGATAGAACTTATCACACGTGTAAAATTTCAATCCAGCCCGCAGTTCTACACGCATTAGACGTCGAATCGGCAAATATCACACGTCGCGCGATCTTCTCGTCGATGATACACACGACAATGCGATGTCAGGTCAGGATAGGATACATAAAAAAAAAAAGTATCATCCTTGCGTGTCGGAGCCACATAGCTGAGGTCGAGGAGCAGCGGCGGCGGTAGCGGCGGCGGCGGCGGCGGCCGAGAGGTACACCGTGATGCCAGGCACACACGAGACGGGCGTGCATAAGTCAGCACTCAGGATATTTCGTCATTTCCTGCTTCTCACGCGATACAATCTAAATTAACTATGTTCGCTTGGCTAGGCCTCCTCCCTCGCGCACGGAGAGCTCGCATCTTTCAAGAAAATTTCTTATTTCCTAGCAAGGAGGGCCGCCGCCGCCGCCGCCGCCGCCGCGTCGCCTTCATGGAGGAACGCGAAGAGGACGACGAGCGGCGTCGAGAGGACGAAGATGAGAAGTAGATGAGGACCCGCCACGCCGCGCCGCACCGCACCGCGTCACGGGCTTTCACAATGTTCCCGTTTCGCGCCGTCAAGTGAGTAAGTTGCCGCTCTCGACAGTCGGAAAATCTCTAATGTCCCTCGACCGGAAGAGAGATACATCGAGAAAACGTATTCGCGGAAAGAGTTGCGGAGCCTCGTTTTTCCTAGACTGCACTCGACTTTCATAGGAAGGGGATATCGTAGCGCTACTAGAAACTATAGATACATGAAAATGGTATAACGCGTTCCATTTCTCGTGCGTTATTTTTGTACTGTTTGACGTCGACTCTTCCTCGGCGAAAATGTTGAGAAGACTTATAATTTATTGCCCAATCTTTCGTCAGAACGTATTTTCGTTTTTAATTGACTCCGCGAAAAATTTTTTCGATCACCGATAACTCGAGAATTATTGATCTTCAAATTGAGCAAAGAATTTGTCGCTAAAAAGAATGCGTGAGAAGAATATAGCGAAGAATAATGTCTCCCGCTATGCCGTTGATTCTTTCGTGAAAGGAAAAAAAAAAATTGTTTTGTTGTGATACAAAGAAAATTGTTGAAAGAATAACCAAAGTCTCGAAGCCAACGTTCGCACCGATCGGTTGTCATCCCGACTGTGACTTTGCGAATTCCAGGGGATTCTAATTTCCTATCCCTGAGGAGAGGCCATTTTACGGCTCGAACGAAGCGGCCGCGCAGGAAGTAGGGCGTAAAGTGCCTTGAACTTTGAACCGCACGGTTTTTTTTAAACGACACGAATGGGGGACTCTGCGGGAAGCGCGCGGCGTCGCATAATTTAATATTCTCAGCGTTAATAATATCAATTAAAAAAAAGTAGAAATCGAAAACAAAATAATGTAAGTACCTGACTACTTTATCTCTACATTTGATGTCACGGTCGAAACTTTCCCACAATATAATTTATCAAAACCTGCGTATTTTATGAGTTCCGGAAATTAGGGTGCTGAATATTCCTCCGAGTCTCCTTAACCCGGAAATTTGTTAAACCTCAACGGTTTCACTGTCCGAAGACCTTAATTAATTTGCGCAATTGAAGATTGCGGCATTGGCGGCGATTTCACGCGAATCCGCGTGGTTTTGATTTGGCGAACGTCTGACCAGTGCGGGACCGCATCACTTGCCGGGTGACTCTTCGATACTTCCACCTTGTGTCGTCGCGTTATCACAGGGCGGGAGAGAGAGAGAGAGAGAGAGAGAGAGAGAGAGAGAGAGGAGAGAGAGAGAGAGAGAGAGAGAGA